AGGTACCTGGCTCAATTAATAACGCTTTCTACATCTCCATTACAGTGCTGTTGCACAAATAGTGAACTTTCTCACCGTTGTCCCTCCACTGGGCTCACCTACCGAGGTTTAATAGAGACACAATATGAGAGTTGTAAAACAGTGTGACATTTAATAAAACATTGGAGGATCTGTTTAAATCCAGGACATCAAAGACCAAGTTCACAGATTTCCTTCTTTTGAAATCTGTAGAGTCATCTTCTAAAGAATATTTAGAGGCCGTTTACGTTACTCCCCTTAGGAAGCTCTTTCCAGGATATCACTGTAACCACTAAGAAGCAAAAGCTGAAATTTTTATCATTCTATAACTCATTGTAAGGTAAGCCATGTTTTAATAGAGACCCACTGAGAAAAGAATAAGTGGGGAAACATTTCTATTACTTTTCTGAAATACACAATGGTGTTGAATTCAAAAGGTCGCTCACTGGTGACATAATGAAATCAATCTTCTGTATCATGTAAAGGGTATGGGGTTTAATAACTATTTTTATGGGCCACGTCTGGAGAAGTAATAATTAGATAAGAAACAGAGTGAAACGCTGAAAAGAGAAAGTGGAGGTAACTCTAAGGGGATTGATGAATATCCTGCAGTCTGCCTCGTTTGATTAAAGGAGACCACCAGCAGAGACAGAAATGGGGACCCTCGACTCTCCCCATTTCTAACCTCAGTTTCAATTTCTCAGTACTTAAATATTCTGGACGCTACAGACTACCTGCATCTATGTACAAATAGTGTTCCAATAGAATACTAATAGCATTTATTTATAAATGTAAAATTCTTTTGGTATGTGGAAATTCTAAATGCAGAAAGCATTTTTTTAATGCTCTTCTATTGATTGTTTTATTGAATATTGATGATGGATTTGCCGGGAGACAATCTAAACATAAAGATCAACATGAAAACGAACATGAAACATTTTAAAGGAGATTGACATCAGACTTCCTGCAAAAAGTACACATACAGTGTATTCAGTGATACAGTTCGTTATCATTTAAGTTAATGTTAAAACCAGGATTTGAAACAGGTGCCACACTGAGAGACCTAATGAGACCCAGGTGATTTTTCTTTAGAGTTCTTTAACTTGCAGCGTCCAGTAAAGAATAATACCACGGTATGTGTGAAGAAACGTAGCTAGCATCTATAACAAATAAAGATAGTCACTGAGTTTAAAGTGTTAAAGATTAAAAGAGTGATTGATAACGGTACACGGTAGTTGAAAACCACAAGAGTAAAACAGTTGATAAGGTAATTTTAGAAAAGCTACTCATCCTTGAGCTTGTATTTTAAACAGTTTTTAAAACTCATTTCAGTTTGAATCTCAAACCCATAAGTCTGGAATAGAATTCTATTTGCTTAAAGTTCATACTCTAGGTGACAAGATGAAATCATGTATGCAAGTGGGATAAATGTAGCAAGAATCCTGCTTAGTCCAGCTACATGACAGAAAGAAAAAAAAAGAAGGAAAAAACCCTGACATTTTGCTGTGTAAATTCTCACCAACTCACTATCAAAAGCTGAAACCTAATGTAATCTGACATTGCACCAAAATTGAATTTTTATTTAGAGCAAGCAAATAGCTCCTTCTGAGAGGTCTGACGGACTAGTTTATGTTCTAAATATATCAGTTTTATCTAAACATTACTGATCAATGTATTGGGAATTGTGCTGCTACTTACTCTCTTGAGTATGAATGTAAAAAATATGGTATCCATGTTTGGTTTGATTTAATGAGAAAAAATGATTGCAAAAGACTCATTTGTTCACTCGTGCTCAAGAGATCTATCTTCCAAACGCTAATAAACTAGAAACCCAAACGACCGTACACAGTGTATCTGCAAAGAACCTTTTGATATTCTGATCCTGAATTAATAGACCCATGAAGTTCTATTAACCTTGAAACCATTCAATGATAAATTATTCTATAAGACATGTTTCACAAACACACTGAAAGAAGAATGTGGTTTTGTGGAAACTGTAAAGCAAGGAGAAAGAGGGGAGAGAATTAAATGTATGTGGGTGCAACTTTAAACTTAGAGAATGCACCAGGGAATTAACAGCCAAAACTCCCAGCAATGAAATGTTTCTTAAATTCCTAATAAATAAGAATGTTTTTGACCATCTGTCAAGTGTAAGGCACTATACTGGGATTCTGGGGACTAGAAACACTAATTAAACCTAGTCCTTGGTTACAAGAAATAGGAAGATGTGACGGTTGATTTCACATGTCAGCTTGGCTAGCCTGTGGTGCACAGTTGTTTGGTTAAACACCAGTGTGGATGTTGCTGTGAAGGTGCTTGTGGCGGTGATTAACATTGATAATCAGTGACTCTAAGTAAAACAGATTCCTGCCTTCACATGTATGGGCCTCTTCCAGTCAGCTGAAAACCATTAGAGCAAAGACAAGTTTCCTAAAATATAAGGTATTTGTCTTGAGGCTTCCCCATGGAAATCCTGCATGTGGGGCCAGCACCCTACTCCTCTGAGCCACAGGCACCGCCCCCCCCCTTTTTCTTTTTAGAGACAGAGTCTTACTTCATCACCCTTTATAGAGTTCTGTGGCATCACAGCTCACAGCAACCTCCAACTCCTGGGCTTAGGTGATTCTCTTGCCTCAGCCTCCCGAGTAGCCGGGACTATAGGCACCTGCCACAATACCCAGCTGTTTTTTTGCTGCAGTTTGGTCAGGGCAGAGTTCAAACCCCCACCCTCGGTATATGGGGCTGGTGCTATACCCACTGAGCCACAGGATCTGCCCAAGATAAATTAGCTCTTGATAACTAGTTATCCCTGCTTTGTTACTGTTGAGGTACCCTCGTGAATAAGGGCTCTTTGACTGAAGAAAATGAGTTAAAGTTGTCACCATTCATGTTTGGTTTTCATGTCTTTTTCAATATTTAATTTCATTTAGAAAATAATATATAATTGACATATATAAATTTTCTCTATGTATATTTGTATATTCATTTCTTTCTCTCAAGATAGAGAAATTTTACATAGTTTTTACTTTAGTTGTTTTAGAAGCATGCCTAATTATTCTTTAAATGATAAATAAAAAGATATTTTAAATATAATATATTTTAAAAATTAAATATTCTTTATTATGCTTTAAAGAAGGAGAAGTTCAGGTAAATGAAGTTCATATCTCTGTTGCCCAGAAATGTCACCAAATTTACACATCAAGGGGTGGCACCTGTGGCTCAAAAGGGTAGGGCACTGGCCCCATATACCAGAGGTGGCAGGTTCAAACCCAGCCCCAGCCAAAAAAAAATATTTCCACATCAAAGTTGTACTTGTTCTTTTAGCGTTTGCTTGCAAGGGGTTAAGTCAATGCATCTAAAGCTGTCAATAAATGTTCTGGAAAAGAACTTCTGTCTAAGTTTTGCATCACATGGTGTTGAACCCTTTATTGACACTCTGGAATAGCACACGTGCAGGAAGAACATTCTTTATCTCCAAATTTGCAACTCCCATTCCTGAGGTGACAGTTTTGTGATAAAGAGTATGGATTTCACAGGTGATCTTACCGGTATTAGCAAATCAAGTTTCAAATTCTATGGAAAACCAAGAGATATGTGGCAGTTGGCTACAAAACTGATGATCCTATAGAAATCAGAGAGAAATATTTTCCTATAAAATGATTTTGGTCTGATGTAGGTATCATTTTGTTTAACAACACACTTCCTACATGTGCTTTTAGCCTGGATTTCTCATCCAAAATGTTTCTGTAAAAATGCGAATGTGGTATAAAATTAAAGGATTGGCTTTATCAGAAGCAAGAATTTATGTTTTTATTCATGTGTTATTTATTATACACAATTATATTCATAAACATATCTTATTCAAAAATAGACTTATTAATAATGTAAGATTAAATTAGAAAATAAAATTATATGTTCAATTTAAGGTGTCTTTGTACTTGTAGTTAAATTATAAGAATGAAAGTGGTAGTAATAGTATTTAAAAATTTAGCCTATGGCTGAAATTTTTTTTTCTTTTTTTTGGAGACAGTCTCACTGTGTCACCCTTGGTAGGGTGTTGTGGCATCACAGCTCACAGCAACCTCAGACTCTTGGGTTTAAGTGAGTCTCTTACCTCATCCTCTCAGGTAGCTGGGACTACAGGCACCCACCACAAAGCCCGGCTGTTTTTTGTTAGAGTTGTCATTGTCATTTAACTGGCGTATGCCAGGTTCGCACTCTGCTCCCTTGGTGTATGTGGCTGACGCCATAACCACTTGGTGCTATGGGCACCAAACTGGCTGAAATATTTTTTTAATAAAATCGGTTTCATTTGTTTCATGAACATACTCAGTTACATCAGTTCCCCCACTTATGAAAGAAGACATGAAATTGCTTTGTCCTACAGAATGTGTGGGAGAAGTGGCCTATCTTGTCTCAAGCTCATCATTTTTTTCCTTCTTTTCACTCCCCAGCATGGCTGTAAGGTGTAAATTGTTGTCTCCGTAACATTGGCTGCTAGTAGGATAGAGTGAAGAAATAAAAATAAAGAAACTGATATTTTCCCTTAGAAATCAAAATTGTTCGTTTCATTGAGAACTCATGAAATATTAAGAATAAAGGCAATCAACTTTTCTAAAGCATCTAATGTGTACCCTAAATGTACTCCGATTACTTACACAATTTCTTGTTTTATTTTGTGAAAGGAACCACTGCCTACACAAACAGGAGGCATTGTAAATTAAGGAGCAGGGTAAGTTACTGCGTGCTTTGTCCACCCCTGGGATTTTACTTCTATCTCCTTATTTTAATTGCAAACAAGTACAAGAGAATATGTAATACATTATTCTGTCTCTTTCCTCAAATGTAAAGCCTGTATAGAGTAACAGCCAATATCATAGGTTTCTTTTTTTTCTACAACAAATCTCATACATGCATAGGTTTCATTGTAATCCAAGATAGAACTGCTACAAATAATGACAAAAGAATTTTTTGATACTCGCCTGAAATCCAAGGAGCTTTTCACTGGGCTTAATATGCCTCTGAAATTCACATTCTATAGGTTGTATCACTTTGATTCCATCTTCATAAAAAACATAGAACATGTTCCCAATTCCCAGACCTTAGGAGCAAAAACACATTTAAAAGTTCAAAAAAAATGATCATAAATCGGTACCACCCAAACTCAGTGGCCCTCGTGGGGAGCAAGAGATCAATTTGTGCAGGATGTAACGTTAACAAAGCAAACCACTCGGGCCCCTCAGTGTGGACCAAGCCACGCGGGGATATTCTGCAGACATTCTACTTTGTCCTCCTGGCGCTGCAATTCAGTGGTTTATTTTAATATGATTCAATAAATATATTTTAAAATAATTATAAATGGAAAGCTTATACTCTTTGATTCATAGAGTACGTTGGATAATTTTCTTGTGTAAATAGGTGTGGATTAAGGCTCAAACACTTTTTGAAGAATCAAATGTAATCTACAGTTTCTATCAGCGTTCACTAGGGAAAATTAAATTTTATTCTTTATAGGAGTTATACAGATTTTTATGAATATCTTAAGTGCCCTAGATTTTGAAGAATGTGTATTTTCTTAAACTAATTTTTGTCCAGATAGCGTTACATAGAGATTTTACGTATTGTTGGTGCACTAGTGATTTGGGGGCAGAGGTCTATTTTTGTACTTTAAAACAAATTCAAGGTCTTAGAAAGTTCTCAGTTTAATCATTTAAATCCTACTTTGAATTCTTTTCAGACTACAGATCTGGGCAGGTGATGTCTCAGAGATTAGTCTCCTCTACTTGGTGCGGGAGGCTGCATGTTGATGCCTGGAATGCTGGGCAGAGTAGCTGAGGACTGAGCCCAAG